TCTTTTCTGTCCTGGACTATTCACCTAACCTATATCCCAGTATCACCCCTTAAATATCACAATTTCTTACCTCTTTATCTAAACCTATTCACACTCCCCCCTTGTTTCCACATCCCTCCCACTGTGTTGGGAGTGTTGACCCTAGGCTAACTAGAAATGGCTGCTACCGTTTCTCGCTCTTATATTATTAATACCAAGTATGCGATTTTCCCTTGCGTGCCGACCCCCAAATGTGATAGTTCTACTTGGTTTGAATTGGTTCACTGTAGACGTCTCTCGGTTTCCGATTGTTCTTCTCTGCTCTCCTTGTACTCTGCTTCCTGAACTTAAAAAATATTACCTCTGTCCAGTCGTCTTCTTTATGCTGGCATCGTTGTTCCCTGACAAAAAGTGGATATGCCTACTTTCGTGCAAACTGAAGCAGAATTTGAGGCTGTTGCTATGAGAATGGATTATCAAAATGATAACAAAAAGAAAGACAACACTTCACAAACTTGCCAACGCAACACAAGAAAGTTGAAAAATTGGATATCTCTAAAGTCTATAACATAAAATGCAGCAACTGTAAACATAAGTATATTTGTGGAACAAGAATAAAAATCGGCCTCCGAATCAAGGAACTTCAAGGACTCTGTAAAAACAGAGATACGGAAAGATCAGAAATAGCGGAACACTTTTCACGAACGGGACATGAAATCGACAGAAATGTCGACTGCATGTGGTGAAAATACGAGAAAACGCAAGATCCGAGGCCATCGATATACTGACCGAGATAAACCTAATAAACAGGTGTGTTGTATCCATGTTGTATCGTCATGTATTGCTTTACTTGTTTCATGTTCCATATCTATACGATTCTCTCTGCTTATGGATTCTGTTCCTTGTCTCTAATAATTATATTCTACCTTTATTATCTTCAGCTTCATTCTCAGGTTAATTGTTTCGGAGCTCATAGAGACGGTGCTCTCAATAGCCTTGGCTGCCCAGAAGCCAGGCCTTTAGATACCTTTATTGATTCCATAACCGGAATTCCTTTTGGTGGTCTTGCCAAGCCTGGCCTTTTGCTCTCAGAACTTCTTGCCGATACAGACTCAACCAATCTTCCGATATCGCCTGGGATTCGAAATTTTGGATCTCTTGGCTCAAACTCTGACCTCGTATCCGACTCCAAGTGTACTGCTAGCACTGCGGCCGCCGGTTCTACCAACGACGGTCTCTGTGATGGCATTCGTCATAAGGCAAAGGTTGCCGACGCCCCTCCATTCCAAGCTGGACCCCATCTGGTCTGCATCAATCCTTTTCACTATTCCTACGGCTGTTATTCACATTTAGGTAGGATTTCTAATTTTATTTGCATATTAAATAATTTTTTACTATTTAAATAGATTTTGAACGAAAGGTAGTCACTCCTGGTCACATAAAGTGATACTTGACTAGTATTTGGATTTTATCTCAATTTTATGAGCTGATTTGATGATGCCTTTGAATTTTACTTAGCATTGCCTCTAAATAATGTATTCTCTTACAGCTTCTTATGGTTGGAACACTGGATGATATTAGACTTTGTAAGGCAAGGGTAAATTAATTCTATCTAGAAATTCAGATTTTGATCACTGCGATGTTTGACCTAGAGTGATTACATTTCTTATTTACCATGTCATA